ATATAATATAATATAATATAATATAATATAATATAATATAATATAATATAATATAATATGAGTTGGATTTATATCATCTACTGTCCTGTCTAAAGAAGGAAAAGATAGGTAGATAATAGACAGCCAGACAGATAGATTAATAATCTTGTAAAGGTGTCTTGCATGCTCTTGAAACAACACGCAGCCCTGAATTGTGAAAACAGCAACCTTCTCATTTACGTAATGTAAGAGCTCACCCTGACATACATTAGCTTGAATAATCAACGTATCAGGCTGGAGACTCTGTTAGTGCCAATTTCTCTCCAGAGACAATGTTTGCACAAATGGGTCTACCCCCTGTGCAACAGGGGAGAGTTTTGCACAAGTTTGATTGATCGTGCCTAAGCCATCATAAACAGGCTCCTTCCCCATCATACAAGGAAATTAACCATTTCTTCTTTATTAAAATACTGAAAGTAGTATAAACAATTGCAAAGCCTTATTTTTTTCCTTAAAGAGAACTGTTAAAAATTAAAATACACGGTTTGTTTTGAGTTAAAAGTTATTACAGTCACAGGCTGGCATCTGGTTTGTTCTGAAGCACAAGGAGAGCAACGAGGAAGATGCAGAAGAAAGGGAAACTGGTGGGGCTACAGCAAAAGTCAGACCCGGTGTGCAGATGATCCCAGATTCATTCCCTGGCTTTCCGACATAGCTGGAAAACCCAGGACAGGAAACTCTTGAACTCCACTACTCTGAATCAACAACACTGGGCTAGAAGGACCATGACTTCATGGACGTCCAGAGTTTTCCTGGAAAAAATATGGAAATGGTTTGCTATTGCTTTCTTTTAGAATGTCTTTCTGACTTCCCAGTTTAGCCTACAGCTGTGCGATTTCCTGATAACCTCCCATCCAAGTGCTACTCAGGTCCGACCCTGCTTAGCTTTCTGAGATCAGCCAGGATTGGGTGGGTGCTGTCATCTAGCTGGGCTAACAAAGATGTATCGTCTATATCAGAGTTTCTCAGCCTTGACAAGTTGAAGTTAGGTA